ATTTATAGGTCTGTAGATACAATTTGTGGCTTCCATACATATGTGGCATACGTATGTGGCATGCCAACCTCAACAATAAAGCTAAAATATCGTTTTGAACCTTTTATGCCGAAACTTCTTTTGAGCGCCGACAGCGGATCTTCTAAACTCAAAACTTAAAATTGGCACTGGCACAACATTCAAAAAAGTGATGTCTGTCTTTAGGTTTGGAAGGAAACCTCAAGAAAGTGTCATCGTGGTTAACAAAATCACGTTCATTTCGTATGTTGCTATCTTCGGAAGTGAATACAAAATCAACAGATAGATGCTGAGTTCGAAAGTGATACTTCAGCCTATCGAAGATTCCTATTATCATATTTTATAAGCACAGGATTTTGAATTATAAACGCACTTGTGTACTTCATTGGCACTTTGTCAGCCTCTACGACGAATTTCTTCTGTAATCCTGAATCGGTACGCAAGAGGCAACTTTTTACCAATTTACGATTTCACAATTTATAGGTATACCATTGTTCGAACGATTATTTGTACTAAATAAAAGGTCAAACGATACTAATGTTTTTTACCTGCCGAGCCTCGTCGTGCACTTTTAAGAGCGCGTCCTTCACTACTGAGTAAAGGTGTTACTTCCGTTGTCTAATGCGCATAATCATGTCCTACGAATAAGAAGTGCCGTAGCAGCAGAAGTTCACTGTTCTTTCTGTTTTGTACAATCTCCTAGTTCTCCTCAGTCTCTCGTGATTTATGTTCAACTACGCATGCTCTCAATTTGCACTCTGTGTCTTCACGCCGACGGATGCAACCATCCAGTCGACTTATATAAAGGTCGTCATATTGGCTACTGTTCTCCAGATTCGAACTCTACTACTACTACTACTATTATTATTGCTCTAGTCTAGTGCTTCGCCATGTTTGTTAAAACCCTTGCCCTCTGCTTTTTGGCTTTAGCGGTAAGCTTACAGCGTTATTTCCAATACCTAAAATTCCTTTTTTTTAAAGGATTAGCTGTTGCCAGCTTACCTTTGTTCTCCTATTTTTTTTTTGA